CTTGCTCTCCACCCTCGTGTACATGCTCCCCCCAGCCCCGCACGCTCCCCAGCCCCTCGCACACACAGTACCTGCAGCATCTCGGCCCGGGAGATCTTCCCGTCACTATCTTGGTCATAGAGCTGAAAAGCAACTGTGCGACCACGATTGGTGTCAGCACTGGGATCAGAGCAGGGAAATGAACCTGCCACCAGCCCCAGCCTCCTCCTGCAGCCCCTTACAGCCTGCATGTTCCCATGTCCCCCCTACATATGCTGCCTGGATCCGTCTGTCTCCACCCCAAGCATTCCCCCACGTGCCCACCGCAGCATCCCTCCACATGTCTCTGCATTCCTCCAGGTCGGTTAGCTCCTTGGGTGCCCCCACCACACTGCCCCCCGCACTTCTCCACACCCAACACCCTGCTCACATGCCCTTCCCTCACCCCACATGAGCTCTGGCCAGCTGCCAGGGGTGCCTTCCCCTCCCCATTATGCCACATCTGGCGCCTCGTCCCCTTGTCACCAAGGGGCCCCGGTCACTTGCCTCAGCAGTGGGGTGGGGGATCCCCCTGCCTGCCCTGTTACTCACACTGCAGCTTGCTGAGTCGGCTGTTCATGGGCTCCGGGTAACCAGTCTCCTTGGACTTTCCTTCCTCCACGGGCCGGAAACGGGCCAGCACCCGCATGAAGGCTCGGAAATCGGTGAACTCCTCCCTGCAGCGGGAGACGCCACTAATAACTGATGGTAGGTGCAGCCGAGCACAGCTGGGAACACAGGGCCCAGCGCTGAGCTGCTGCTGCCTCTGGGCAGGGAGCGGGGGTTAATTATCCAGGGAGAAGCAGCCGCCTCTCAGGTGGGGCGTGGGGATTATTTATACTGGGAACCCTTGTCTGGTGATGAGATGCGACTGCCTCTGGGGTGGGGCACTAGGCTTGTGCACACATGGAGCCCTTGTCTGGTGCTGAGATGCGACTGCCTCTGGGGTGGGGCACTAGGCTTGTGCACACATGGAGCCCTTGCCTGGTGCTGAGATGCAGCAGCCTCTGGGGTGGGGCACAAGGCCTGGTACAGGGGGATCCCTACAGCAAAAAGCAAAGGACTGTGCACTCAGCGCTGCGGAGTTCTGCTCTGCCCAGTCCCTGCACCATCCAGGCTCTGCCGGGTTCCCTGCCGTGCTCCGGGGCCTGTGAACGCCGGCGCCCCCCAGTGGCGCGTGACACGCCCTGCAGCCTGCATCCTCTCCCTGCCCCCGCCGTTGCTTGGTCTGGGGGGGGGGTGATGCTCGTGGCGCCGACTCACCCCTCCCTGAAGAAGGCGTTGATGATCCGGTCCCCCAGGGGGTTCACCGCCAGCGCCCCGATCCCCTGCAGGTCGTATTTGCTGTAGGGAGACAGGGCAAAGGTCGTGGCACGCCCCAGCTGACACTCGTAAGGGGCCCAAGACTGGTGGACGCTGCCTCTGGGGTGGGGCACGGTAGCTCTACCAGGTCCTGCACCTGATGCTGGGATGCAGCCAGCTCTGGGGAGCAGCATCTTTCCAGTGTTGAGATGCAGCCCCCTCGGGCGTGAGGCCAGGTGGTGGCGAATCCTGGGATCCCTCTCCCAGTGGGGAGACGCAGTCATCCCGGGGGCAGGGGCACGGCAGCCGTCCCATAGGAGGGACACCAGGGTCTGAGGGTTGTTCGTTGACTCCAGCTGGGCTGCGATAAGGGGCAGGGCCGGGTGCTCCAGGGTCCCGCTGGGTGCAGCCTGTGGGTGCCGTGGGGCCCGGCGGGCGCCATGGCTGAGCACCGCTGGGCACTCGTGCCAAGGTTCACACACCTGCGGAGAGCAGCCGCACCCGGCGCCTTTTCCCTTTCATGGCTGGGGAGGCATGACCCGAGTGACCTGAGGCCATGGGGATGGGCCCCCGACCCTGGGCACCCGCAACTCACTCCTGGCATTACTCCAGGTTGGCACCAGGGTCTGGCCTGTCGCCTGCAGCTCCCCAGCGCATCCCTCATGCAGGTCCCTGGGAGTAGAGAGCCAGGCCCCTAGAGAGCCACTGGGCCCAAGCCCCCTTCTCGAGGGGCTCAAACAGGGGAATGGGGGGACAGAGGGCAGCAAGAAGAGATTGAGCTCTGCTGGGGGGCAGCAGCTCAAGGAGAGGTGAGGGGTTCTATTCCAGGCTCTGACCTTGGGCCCCACCCCGTGCCTCAGTTTCCCTGCCCACCCTTCTGTCTGTCTCCT